TCTATTGACAAATTGGACTTTTGGATTGCTGAAGAAGAACAAGTGCCATCTCTAAAGTTTGATGTTGATGATGTCACTAATTTGGAAAGTGTTATGCATAATGAGAATGTTGTAGCTCTATCATCTTTTGAGAGAGATAATGAAGGTTTTCACTTACTAACATGTCTATATTATATAATATATAATTATTTTTTACACATAAGATTAATGTTAATTCTTATCATAGATAGGTAAAGAAGATATGAATATTCCAAAGTATCCACATTTGAATGATGATGTTGGAAGTAGTTATGGTTTCTCTCAGTCATCTCGTAATGTTTCAATTTCTACTCTTGAAGATTTGAATGAAATCAATGAAGATTTTGGTGTTGATTATTAGCTTTAGACTTTTTTTATGATTGAAGGATTGTAACAATGAATATTTTAAATGTTGTACTTTTAATGATGTTTTGAAGATTGTGTTGGACTTATATGTGGTATTGTATAAGATATTAAGTCTTGAAGATTTTATTTTTATTTAAATCATATTATTTTATTATGTTTGGTTTGAATTTAGGTTGACTCTCAGTTCAACCTCAGTTGAACCTTTGACCCTTGATTAATTCAATGATCGGTTTGGTTTTTAATATTGAGTAAAATAGGGATTTTCCAAGAAGCATTCAAAATTAATTTAATAATTTTTCAAAAATAAATCCAATAAAAAGTTTCTAATACTACTTTAATTTACTCACTCAAGATGAATTTGCTATTCTGGTAACATCCTATTTTCCTTTATCCTTATTAAATAGTGAGTTAATATTTTAAGTTAAAATTTTAGATATGAATTGAGGTTTAGAAGCAATATATATTTTTTTAAAAAAGGGAAAAACTAATATGGTTAAGTGTGATTAAATAAATCATGTAAATCAATTATTACTTAATTAGATATTAACTTCATGGATCCAAATTCGAATCATAGTAAAATAGGGATGTTCAAGGAAGCACACTTCAAAAATTAATTTAATAATTTTTCAAAAACAAATTCAATAAAATATCCTAATACTACTTTAACTCACACAAGACAAATTAGTTGTTTTTAATTGTAATTGCCTTTTGTTGACCTATTGTTGTGCACACAAGCCCATTTCTTCAAATCCATTTAATAGCACACTTTCATTCCTTAGTACTTATACTTTAGGAGGTTTCCTCAAATAAGTAAAATGTCATTTGACACAATCCACACATTACTACAACAACTTTGAATTTGAAAATCCAAAGTTTTATGAAATACTATTAATAGGGAAAAAAAAGTGAATGAAAAATTTTACTGAATTAAATTGGCCATCTACAAGTATAAAAAATAGTGAGCATTCTTGATATTTCTCCCAATATCTCTCTCAATTTGAAAATCTAGTTTTTTTATTTTATTGAGTTTCCCAAACTTAACTTTTCTCAAACTTGTTTAGCTTTTTTTAATTGCTATAAGTCAATATTCATATAATAAGGCTTCTTCATTGCCATATGGTTCTTTGTTGGGAAGAAATGCACCAATATGACATATTTCCGTTAGAGAACCTCTAGTTCTAACTTATTTACCAACTTCCCTTATAACTTGATCAAGTGGATAAAACTTACTATATCTCTAACTCTTGGGAGAGTATTGATTCGCTCAATCATTGTCCTATAATCATTGTTGGATTAATTCTCATTCTTATCATTCAATGAAAGATTCTTAAGAGTGATAGTAGTATTATCCTCCTTACATTCAATTGGAGGGGATCCCTCAAATTTGACATGAAGATAGATTCTTCAATAGTTAAACCCTAGAAGTCATTCCACATACACCTCTTCGATTATTAAACCATTAAGAAAAGAACTTTTCTCATCCATTTGAAAAAGTTTAAAATTTTTTGCACATGCAAATGCAAGTAATAGCTAGCCTAATAGTCTTAAGACTTGTTATAATCAATTTCATCTTCTTGATTATAACTTTTTACAACTAACTTGGCTTTATTTCTAAATATAATCCCAGTTTCATAAATTTTACTTCTAAAGACTTATTTAGCACCAATGACTAGAAGATCACTCAATCTAAGGATTACATCCCGAACTTGACTTCTCTAAAATTGGTTTAGCTCTTCCTATATTGTTATAAGTCAATATTCATTTGATAAGATTTCTTCGATGTCATATGGTTATGTGTTGGAAACAAATGTGCTAAAATGATATATTTCCCTTAACGACCTCTAGTTCTAATAATTCTGTTACCAATTCCCCTCTCACTTGATAAAGTAGATGCATAGGACTCACTACATCTCTAATCTCTTGGAAGAATATTGATTTGCTTATTCACTATCTCGGGATCATTGTTGGATTGATTTCCATCCTTATCATCTAATGAAATATTCTCAAGAGGGATAGTAATGTTATACTCTTTACTTTCAATTGGAGGAGATTCCTCAAATGTGGCATGAATAGATTCTTTAATAGTTGAAGGTTTTTTGTTAAAAAATCTAAAAAATTTACTTCTATGTGAATAACCAAGAAAAACTGCTTCATCAGATTTTAAATCAAATTTGTCCAAATTTTCTCTTCCATTATTTAAAAAAAAATTACAACCAAACAAATGCAAGTAAGAGAGATTAGTCTAGCCTCCTTATAAACTTGATATGGTGTTTTACCCAAGACTGACCTAACACAGGCTATATTGGTGATGAAGCATGTTTTACTCATTGTATTAACTCAAAAATATTTTAAGAGCTCCTTTTCATTTAACATTAATCTTGCTGTCTTCTTTAGAGTTTTGTTTTTGGTTTTTTGTCACCATACCATTTTGTTAAGAAGTTATAAGTGTCCGATCCATATTTCATAATCAATTCTCTATTCTTCTTAAAAATCAACAAATCCATAATTGTTGAATTTTCCACTATGGTCACTCCTTATATGCACAACTTTCACACCTTTTTCATTTTGAACCTTTTTGGCTAAGATTACAAAATTTTCAAAGGCATGATCCTTGTGAGAAAGAAAAATGGTATAAGTGAAACTAGAATAATCATCCACAATCATAAGAGTTTAAATATTACTACCAAGACTTTTACCCTTACTAGACCAATCAAATCCATCTAAAGAGTTTGGAGAGGTCTAGATATAGTCACCACATTTTTGCTCTTAAAAGTAGTCTTGTCTTTCATGCATGTACCATAGACTTTGTCAGCTTCAAATTTGATCTTTGGTAGCTAAATGACAATGTCATTCTTAACAAGTTTATCCAATTGCTTCATGTTCACATGTGCTAATTTTCTATGTCATAGCTATCATTTTTCACTTATAGTGATTGGGTATTTTGTGTCCATGAATCATTACCATCTAAATCAAAGATGTGCACATTTTGAATCCTCTTTCCAACTAGAATGATTTCTCTTGTCTTTTCATCTCTCACAATGCACTTGTCAAATTTAAAAATAGCTTCATAACTTTTATTACATAATTAACTTAGTTTAGGAGGTTATGACTTAAACAATCAACCAATAAAATACTTTCCTACTTACCTATTCCAAGTATTTTTTCTTTGTTTTTATTTCCAAAGGTGACAATGTGATGTTTCCTCCGTTACTTTGAAATACTTTCCAAGATGTAGGTGAATTTGGTGCTATTGCTTGACATGTGTCTTGAATAACCACTATCTACCATTTTTTACTTGTGATTCTCAAAAAAAAAATTGCAAAACAAAAATCAAGCTTTCGTAGGTATCCAAACTCATTTAAGTCCTTGCAGGTTAGTGAATCCCTTAAAATCCACTTCATATTCTCACTTGGACCATTTTTCTTGTAGAGACAAACATGATTTAGTCTTATATCCTTTCTTGTTACAGAAAGTGCAAGTGGAAAGAGAGCTTGACATACTTGTAGGAACAAGAGGTACTTGTAATATTTTTGTTTTTAAATTATCCTAATTTATCATCTTGCTTCTTCTCTTTTTCCTCTAATGTAGTCACTACTCTTTGATCATTTTAATCTTCAATTATCCTCCTTAGGTGGTGCTACTTAGTCCCTTTTGGTGATCAATTGATATGTGTTGTGTACAATTAATTCCAAGCCACCTATATATAAAACAATAAAATCAATAGAAAATGTATTTTAATAAATTTAAAATAATATTAAATAGAATTTGAAAAAAATACACAATAAATCTTAAAAATTCTCTAAAAATATTCATTTGCCCTCTAATCACAAATGTTAACCAATTATTCCAAAATATATTAAATCATATGCTAAAAAAGTCAAGATAAGAGAAGTAAAAGTGCATAAATATGTGAATTATTAGTGATGTTTTGCTATGTTGATGTGGCTTCTTAATCCCACTTCGCGCCTATGCCCTATCAGACATTGGATCTGGAGCCTTTCCATTTTTTTTTTATCATCCTTTTTTCTCAACTTCCTTAATCATAACCATTCATCAAATCTATGATTAAAACAGATTCATTTAAATGCAGTGATATCAATTGTTATGGTTAGGAAGTGGAGGAAAAAAAGATGATAGCAAAATGGAGAGGTTACATGTCTCTAAACTGCAATGTTAGAAAATCTTTAAATTAGTGAAACAATAAAAATAAACTAATAATCAATTTTCCATTTTTCAAAATAACATGGGTTTTTCAATCATTATATTATATAGAATTAAAATATATTATTAATATAAAATATATTTTCTATTTTTTAAAAAAATTGTCCGAATTTTTTCAAATGGGCCATTTTTCTGCACTTCCATTTAATACACGGCGTCAAAACATGTACATTGATTTGTTTTTTGGGTAAAAGATATTGATATTGATATTGTTTTTGTTCATTTACGACTCAAATTCCTTGCAGCATAGAGGCCCTTATCCTGCTATCAAGGGTTATTGCCTTGGGCCTTTTGCTCAGACTTTGTCTTTATAACCTTGAACGGGCCTAGGCCTGTTCTTTATTTTTTAAAAAAATTGATTTTGAACCATTTAAGTTGGGATATTGAGCACCCATCCGATCATTCTCCGATCCTTCAAATTTTCAAAATTTGAAAAGCGATAGAGAGCGAGACACAGCGATGGCGTCAGTGTCAGGAACCATGAAGGGTTTCTACCGACAGAGGAAATCCCACAAATCCTCCTCCAAATCTTCCAAGAAATCCCTCTCTCTTGTTTCCGACGTCACGCAGTCACTGTCTCCCAAAGGTATTTCTCTTCAACATTCTTCATATGTTCGATTCTCTCTTGCTCTTTTGATTTTATTGATGGGCTTTTGTTCGTGTGATGGCGAAATGTTCTCTTTTTCTTGGGCTTTTATTTTAGCATATCTTTTGGCTTCTCGTCTGTATTTGCTTTTCTGTTCCTTTTCATCAATCTAACAGCTGATGATTTTTTTCCGTGTAATTGTCCCCATTTTTTGACTTTAAAAACGGTCTTTAGAGATATCTATTGTAATTTGTAATAGTTATAGTTGCAGTCTCTAACTTCTGGGCTGTTTTCTTAATGGGTTAACAAGTATGTTTAAGAACTAAATATCTTCAATCTATACTGAAATTGAAATGTGTTTTAAAAGATTCAAGGAATAAAGAAGTTACACAAATCTTAATAAAATGTGAATAGAAATATTGAAATTAAAAAAATCATGGATTTCCAGAGTCATATTGTAATGAATAAAAGTATGACTCTGTATAATATTTTCATATGTTGATTATGGGCATGCCATGCTTTGGCACTGACCAAGTCACCTACAAATTATTATTATTTTTTGAACCAAAAAAGAAAGGAAATTCCTCTAGAATTCATCATGCAGCTACATTTACATCGCTTGAAGTTTGATATTTTGCATCTAGCTGAGAAACCCTTTGCCAGTCTCTTACAATATGTTGAATTAACAATACGAAGCTGAAATCCCATTTGGCTAATGCTTGAAGTTTAGCTATATTTGTAATGGGTAATGCTTTGCAGTGCTCAACCTCTCGGCTCAAGAGGTTAAGCTCTGTTTTCACTACAAGGTGTGCTTTCAGGCTCAAGCCAATAAGTCCTGATAGTAGAACACTCCATTGCATCACCTATTAGAAATTCTCAAATGAAAGAAACGGGCAAAATACAGATGTTTCCCATCATGTTAATGTTTTGCAATGGATCTCTTTGAAATCACATTGTTCAGGTACTGATTTCATGATATATGTTACGTAGATTTTCTGTGCATTTTCTTTTTGTTTTACTGATTTCATTTTATTCTTGATCGAATGAACATTAGTTTTGCATGACGAGAAGTTTGATATGATGGCGTAGAATGGCTGTTGTTATCTGATATATTGCCCAATACACTTCCTACTTTGTTGATAGATGATGTCAATGAGCATGAAGAGATGTTGCGTCAATTTGACATGAACATGGCGTATGGACCATGCATTGGGATGACCAGACTAGCTCGCTGGGAACGTGCCTATAAGTTAGGTTTAAACCCTCCTGCAGAAATTGAAAAGCTTTTAAAAGGCGGGAAGGTTCAGGCAGATTGCTTGTGGGATGGCCACGTTTAGAAGTTTGTATGGAATCCTCTGTTGTTTAGATTTCAGTAGATAATGGGAGTACGGGAGTAAAGTGAAAACATTCAGTTTTCGGCTGTGTTCTTCCCGCTTGTATGTTATGTCATGTCGGTTATTAAAAACAATGTTCTCGTTTCCTCTTTCCTGTTGTTATCAAAAGACAAAATCATGCATTGACTTGTAGTTTGCACTTGGTTTCTGTAATATATGCTTAGTATTTATCGAGTATTGTAGTGGTTACAAGCACATGAATTCAGATTAAAGATTTTTGTCTTCTGGATTCAAGTGAACTTGTTTTAGATATGGATAGTTAGACATATGATGTAAGATTGTGAATTTGTTTTTCCAAACCTTGAAAGTCCTTTCAATCGTGCATACTCGAATGATAATAGTTGAAAATTTTATTATTATTTGCAAATCTTGATGAGCATCTGAAATGTGAGAAGTGGGAATTGTGATATTTCTAAGGACCTAAATATTTGTGTGGCGTTAGATAGTAAGAGTTTTTGAGGTAGTGAAGATGTGGTTTGTACAGAGAGATGAGAGAACACAAGAATAGCATGGTTGAATAAAAATTAGGACTATACATTTATTTCTTTAATTAATGCTTTAACATTTCATTTGCATTTTAATAGTTCGCATCCGGCTCATTGTCCAAATTCACTTCTCATTGATTTTTCAGTGCATATTTGGTTTTCAGTTTACATTTGACAAAAGTATATTTGGGAGATTCAATTATTTTTTGGATTTGGCAAAAATACATCCCAAATGTGATTTGAATGTGTTTTTGAGGGTTATCCAAATAAGCTTTCAATGTACTTAAGTTAGTTTGCACATTTATAAAGTACTTAGACAACATTTCACATTTGGAAAGTGAAAAAGCACTTTCTAAATGCTAAAAGTACCAAATCCAAACAGGCCCTTGAATTGTCATTCTCCTTTTTTTTTGGGTGCGTGGTGAAGGAAGGGAGGAAATAAAATGTAAATACTTGATATGGTCCTTGATGTTTGATCATTTTAAACTCTTTTACTTTGTTACTTTAAACTCCTTGATGCATTTTGGGTGTGTATCAATGAGTTTGTTCAGATTACAAGTGAATGTACATCATTAATCGTTATTGATTGGAAAGTATTCGATTCTCTTTAAGAGCACAGTTTGGACGCTTATATTTACCAGTTAGTCATCTGATGTACTTAGAAACATAGGGGTAATTTGATGTCTGACTTTGAAAGTAATAAATAACATCCATGGAATTTCTCCAGCATAAGCATACATGCTTTGAGAATGAATCTGACGAGGGGCCAAAAAAAAAAAACTAGTTAACTGTAAACAAAATGGTGCGAGTCAACATAAATAATTTTTGATTGCCAGAAAGAGGAAAATGCCATGCAGCTCCTTAGGGTTTGTCTTATTCTATTATGATTGATGATCCTGATCAAACATCACTATTGGAACTTTTTTTTTTTTGGTTATAAAAGAGCAATTATATTAACAAATAAAATGGAAATACAAAATCAAAGTTTCAAAACTTAATAGTAAAAATAGAAGCAGAAAAAAAAAACAATTTATGGTTGATATAACTATAACCACACTTTTAAAAAGATACAGGAGTCAATTGCTAATGCATCTACTTTATATCTAGGTAAACAATAACTTGACCTAAATGAGGAAATAAATTTTCTTTGCCGAGCTTTAGCACCAAGTTTCCAAGTTAGATAGAGGAATCCCGATGATTTTCCCAAAAGCTATAAATCCAAAGGAGTATACTTCAAAGACAAACTGCCATGAAGATGTCAAGTGCTATCAAATTAAATCCATATGAGATGCTAAAGTTTTGTACTATACAAGGAAATGTTCACTGAATAGGAAGGTCTCTTCATTTTCATGAACTTATATATGTGAACTTCCCAATAATGCAATCGATGCAATGATTTTCCTATCCTCTTATCATTTGCAAACTGTGAATTTTGTATATGATGACTTAAAAGATCTAATACAATAGCATGTTTTTAATTACAAGTAGATCTAATGAAGAGTAGATCTTACTTAAAATCCTGAATGAAAGATTTAGTCGTTCTTTTCATATTCTGATGAAGGATAAGATTCCTGAACAACCAAATTTTATGAAGTAAGAAAAAAATATTTACTAACAACTATGTTTCTTGGTTTTGATACAAAACCTTTAAAACTTGCAAAACCCATTGACAGAGACCAATATTTAAAATGGATGTAAATCTGATAGACAGAGCTCCAAACTTGATAGCTTTAATGATTGGACATCAAAAGAAGAAATGACTTATGGTTTCTTAGGTGTCACAACCAAAAACACAGAGTAGAGAACAATTTAAATGCTGAGTATTCAAAACATCACCTATAGGAATATCCATGTAAATTAGCTTCCAAATGAATGGCAGAGTCTTTTAAGGAAGGTGCAATTTGTAATGTCCATTTTGATATTACTAGAACACAACACACAACACAGTTATAATAACCAGTATTAAGATAATTCCTTATATTATATTACCATAGTGGAAGGGTTTTTAAATAAGTTCAAAAGTTGGGATTTCAAGAAACCTTTTTTGAAAAGATATTTGAGCTCAAACGATAGTTTAAAACATACAAAATTGAATAACGAAAGTATGGAAACCAAAACCATCACATTCAAAAGGACATTGCCCAAAGTGCACTATCCACTATGGCGAATGAAGAAAGTTCTCTTGCTATGCAGTGCGCCACAATGCAAAAGCCTTATGCCATGATGCATTGTTGCCATCATGATAGCACGTTTAGGCTAACTTTCAAAGTACATTGTTTTGCTATCCAATGTCCGATCTGAGCGATTCAAGTATTAACATGTAACTTTTTGAGTTATCTAACTATTGGCACTAGTTTTACAACCAAACACTTTACCATTTAAAAGTTAGACACTCAAGTATAAAATTACCCTTTTTCCTTTCAAAACCAAACCAAAAGTGTCCAAACCCACTAATTAAGTGCCAATAACTCTAGGACCATTTGAACCAACTCAAATGAGCCACAATATACCTAATTGATCAATTATACTATGACAATGACATTACGAACATAATTTAACCATTGAAACCCCAATTTCACATTTATCAAAGGGCATAGGCAATAAATCAAATTCACCATGCACATTTAATCCACAACAATAGTAATTACACTAGTATTTCAGCCTCTTACAACCTTTTCCACACATTTACTACATCCTAAGCCAAAATATACCAAAACAACATTGTAAAGATCATGCAAGTACCTAAAACAATATGCATGCTAGAGCTAGCAATATATATAATTATTTAATTTAGTTACATTGTATACCAAGTGAGAGCTATACATACTAGCTCCCAAGATCCTCGATAGTGCCCCCCTTCCCTTTGCCCCTAGCAGAACATTCACTTGTAAAATATAACCATGAGATGAGTTGATAACTCAGTAACTAAATAATATAATCTATTCACAGGTATATAAGAATAACATATGAGTGTGTAAAGTGGCAAATAAAACATTTATCAAATACATACAAATATATGATTATTATATACAATCCATACAATGCAAAATCAACATTCTTCACCTTATATCCTCCAATTACATCTATGAGCTAACAACACAATAGGACTAAGTCCATATGACTAGATTGACTCAAGCTCACAATCATGGGAGGTTGTATTGGCCAAAGGCACCTTCACTTATTTTAGACCATATATTCTCCCTTTCTTGAATATTCGAGGTGTCATATGCCTAATTTACCTCCAAGATAGTACTGAGACTTTCAAATAAGTGAGATTGTGCACCGAGGCCTCCACAATACTAGTATACCATATAGATTTCATACAATATCTCTTGAAAATTCTAGGATGAACTCCCACCCTCTCACAATGATCATGCTTATGTAATTTCAATCATACACATATTTCTCATTATGGATAATCATATAACATTTAGTAACATTTCAATTTGCCTTTGATCCCACGATTTTTTACAAATACATGTAAAACGGGTTTTAGGCATATAATAATATTTTAGATCAATACCACCTGCACATAAATTCTTCAAAACATCAGTAAGTCATGCATAAATCCAAGTGTTCATATAATACATATATATATATATGTAACCACTCAAATACACAAGTAAAAGGATTAAATTATTTGATTACCTTAATCCTTTTATTACAGAAAGAGTTACCGTGGCAATTTGGTTATTCCACAAGATTTCACTAGTTCAACGAGGCTCAATGAATATTTAATCTTTAAGATTAAATACTAATCATCAATTATAACTCTAATTAAACCCCTTTTTAACCTAATTTTGGGTACTCACTCTACTTAAATTTCCTCTTTTGCAAAACTAAGGGCCCGTTTGTTTAAGATTAAAAAATAACTGATTTTTAGGTAGTTTAGAGATTTTATAAAAAAATTTATTTTATAGAGATTTTCTAAAAAGCAAACATTATTTTATATTTGGTTAGAATAATAAAATAGTGATTATTAATTAGTTATTTTTAAAATTTATGATATCTTCCTTGATTTTTGTTTTATAAAAATAATTTATTATTATATAATTTTAAAATTTTATGATATTTTTGCGTATCCTGCTTCTTTAAAACACTCTCTCTCATCTACCACATTAGATTATTTTTAAAAGTTATTCAAATTAGCTTCTTAAAATAATAAAAAATATGCTTTTTTGAATTCAGATTATTTTTAAAAATTTAAACAAACACCACAAAAACTAACAAAATAGATTTTTTTTTCAAAAAATAAGTGATTTTTTCAAGAAATAAGTTAAAACAAACAAGCCCTAACACTTCCAACATAATCCATGAATTTTATTTAGCGTCCAAACACTTAGATAACGACAATTTTCTACCCACATTGCTCCCAATCTTTCATTATTTACCTAAGGTTCATCCAAATCCTAACAAAAAATTTCAAGTCACTATAAAATCCTCAAACCAAAGTTTAAATGCTTGATTTAACTCTCTAAGGCTCTAACTCAATTAATGGGTTCGATCAAAACCCAAGGGAAGAAGAAAATCAATACCAACACTACCCAATCTACAAAAAATTTGCATAGAGAGGAAGGAGAGTGGATAGGAAGCTTACCCAAATGCATGGCTAACTCAAATTGCCTTTAAAATGCCCACAAAGTGAAGCCCTAATAGAGAAGAATCCTTCCTCCATTGTCCTTCTCATTTTCTTTCTTTTCTTCCTTTTGCTTTAAACATGTTCGACTATCTAATAAAATCATATTTTTGCACATATATCGTGATGCATGGCACATCCACCACAGCGAATGACACAGCGAGGCTAGATGAAATTTTTGGGCCTTACTTGATGGTAGGTTCGCACGAACTCTCATCTAACCCTCTTTTGAGGCTGCCCCATGATCCAATAACCTCATTAGTAGTTCAAAAATATTATTAACTTATTAATCACTCAATTTTACCCATTTGTGCCTTTTAAATGCTAAAAATTCAAAGTTTGAAATTGAGGATGTTACATAATTTCCAAACAAAATCCCAAATACATTCATTTGCATAAGGGCTAGTTGCTATAACAAGTGCTAGCTTAATGAAACCCTCTTTAGTAGAGTAATGCCTTGAACCCCAAATGAGTTTATTCTTGCCATCGATGAATGATATTGGTGTGCTAAATATGGACTTAATAGTTGTTTCATCATGCAAAGCTTTGATAGTAGCACTATTCCAACAAGAAATAGTCTAGAGTTGGGAATTGTAATAATAAAACCAGATACTTTGTGAATGTTATAATCCCTTAAAGGATTTGGCTAAATGGGTCTCCACCAACAAGTATGAGTAAGAACATTCCAGTGGAGATGGTTTTTGATAATGTTTGCAACCTTATAGATCCCTTTCTAGTACCACAAAATATTTTAGGGTAATTTGAAACAAGAAACATCAGTATTTTAGAAATACTTGAGTTGCAAAGTATTACCAAGAAGAGAATTCTCCTCTCCTGTCATCACCCTTCAAATTTGTTTAGCTAAAAGACTAGAATTCACAAGACTAGTTTTCCTTAAACTGAGACCTCCTGATTTTGCTGGGTTAAAAAGAATATCCTTTTTAGTGAGATGAATATTTTTCTTTTGATCACTAATTCCTAAAAAAAATAAATAGTTAACTTTGAATCAGTCTGATTGCATAGCCATTGAGGAAGCTTAACACAAGAAAGTGTGTGTGTATATATATATATATTTGAAGCAGTAAGTAAGCCTTGAAGATTGAGATAAAAGATTAACCTTCCAAGATGCTATTCTCTTGTCAGTATTGGCCATTACCTATTCAAAAATTCTCTCTTTATCATGTTTAGCATATATCCATGTATCCAAATATTTGCCAAAAGAGTCTGCACATTGAATGCCAACATATATCCATGTATCCAAATATTTGCCAAAAGAGTCTGCACATTGAATGCCAAGAAAAGATGAAAGATCTTGCTGTTCTTGAGGCAGATCATTTGGACTCAATATGAGAGATGAATTTTGGAAATTTATTTCTTGTCTTGCCCAAGAGCAAAAAGAGCTAATTATTGATAGCATTTTGGTAGCTGCTGACCTTGTTCATCAAATTCTTTCCGCTAAGGGCAAGAGGAAAAAATTGGGTGCTTTAAAGCTTGATTTCTCCAAAGCTTTCGATGAACTATCTTGGAGTTTCTTGGAAGTTGTACTCAAAAGGATGAACTTTCCACATAAATGGGTAAACTGGATGCTTCAATTTGTCACCTCTATTGAATATCATATTCTTTTTAATGGCAAAATCACCAAACCAATTTCTCCAAGTAATGGTATCAGGCAAAGGGACCCTCTTTCTCTAGGCAATCCAAAAACCGTTTCTTTGACTTCCTTTAAGAGTGGTAGAAAAATGTTGACTGGATGTTGTCACTTCTAATATTGAAAACTTAGTTAAGTCTTCGGGTTAACTCTTTGAGAACATGAGTAAATATTATTGAAATGCTCCCAAGTAGTAGTCATAAGATCTTATTGATCATCAATCCATTCCATAGATTCCATTCTCAAGCAATAAACAAAATCTCGAGCTTTTCTACGATTGATAGTCATGTGAAAAAATTTTATGTTTCTTTCACCTTCTACTTTTCATTTAAACTTGGCTCTTTGTGCCCAAAAACTATGTTGGCAATCATAAAAAAATTCTAAAGAATGTTTTGAGATCATAGAACTTACTCAAGAGACTGTCATCAATGTGGTGCTGAGCATCCGAAAAAATAGAAAGTTGGAACCTCTTTTTCTAGTCTACTGATATTAGAGTCAAGATTACCACCCTTAGAAGAGCTCCAAGAGTAAAGCCTAGTTAGGACTTCAGATAATTTACTGTGGAATTTAAAACTAGAAGAACCGTTGATTGGGGTCTTCTAGAAATTAGTAACAACATCTTGACACTTCGCAAAGTTGAACCAGTAATTTTCAAATTTCCTCAACCTTTGATTGGATAAGATATCTACTGAAGTTGGAAAAAAAATGGGGCTATGATCCGAAGCAACCCTCATCAGATTTAGGACATTACTTCTAGGAAAATCTTGCATCTAAATATCATTGCAAAAAGCTCTGTCTAGTTTCTCAAGATTAAGTTGTGATTCCTTTCTATTATTAGACCACGTGAATTTTGGTCCATTTTGCCTAATCTCTATTAAATTCACCAAATTAAGACACTCTTTGAAGAGGAGGATAAGGATGATCCTTTGACTTGTGAGTACTTACCTGATCAAACATTACTATTGGAACAAATAGCTTATATATATCAAACATTGCTGCTCAAGTGGTATGCAATGAGCAAGATCATGTGAATGCCTCTGAAGCTTTAGTAGACATGAAGCTGAGATTTTAATCCAAAAATTATAACTAGGAATGCCTTAAGCAAGATCCATCCCACTAGTTTCAAAATCCAAATACATTCTTTTTTGAGATAATGAAACTTTTAGTCCTTAAAATATGTCTCAGTTATTGATTTGATCATTTAAGTTTAATTTCTATTAATTTGATTTTTTTTAAATTATCACCTGAGTTTTTAAAGTTTTAAAACATAAATTGACTCTTAAAATAATCTACCGTATAAAGTAAATTGATCATTTGTTATCTATATGTACTTAAATGAAAACATGTTAACCCTCAAGTTAGTTTAATATTTATCAATATAAATCCCTTACAATGTATTTTGTTCTCTTCTTTTTAGATATTTTAGAGCCTTTTTTCCTACCTAAATAATTACACTCCTTTTCATTAATTTGCCTTACCGTCATCAATACTCCATTATTAGTATCTATGTCAGCAAATTTTAATAGTGTAACATCTTTTTTAACAAAATGAAGCCTAAACCAATAATTAAAGTAAACTTATGTGACTGAATTGATGAAAATTAAATTTAAAATACCAAATCAATAACGAAGACTAATTTGAGAGATTAAAAGTTGCATTATCCCATTCTTTTTCTTTCCCATATCTATATCTACAGTCTTGCAGATACTCTGGTTTTTTCCATATATTTATCTAAAAAATGGCTTTTTAATCAATTTAGAGTTAAATGTTATCATTAATAATAACTTGGTTTATAAAAAAACAAATACATCAACAATAAAATAAAAGTTTAAAATATCAGTGAGAAAGCAGGACATTAGTCGATGAAAAAAAACCAGTCATGTGGACTAATTTTTTGAATAGTATAAATGTTAAAGCTGTCCAAAAACTGTAACATCCTGATTCACGTGGTCAGTTAAAACAAAAACAAACACCCTTGTTATATTAGTTCTCATATGTTATCTCTAATACTCAAATTTCCAAAGCTCACAACTCTTCCAAATAATAATATTTTTTCGATTTAAATTGTGTAGAAATACAAGATAAAGTTAGAACAAGATGCATTTCATCACAAACTTAACTGCAAATATTGTGAATTGTTATTATAATTCACTTCAAAACTTGTTATAGGCAGTGAAATTCACAGTAAATTTTGATTTTAAAATAGTTCATTCTATCAGGGACATGTGACGGATGATGCCAAGTTTACATACAAATTGTTGAGCTTTAATAGATCTAGAAAGCCAAATTAACATTGCTCAAGTCAAGTGTAGCCTTGAACTCCACAAGTTCAATGTACAAAATAAAAGATAATAAACCTTGGCACAATAATTTCCTTTTGACAAGCAACTTAAAAAAGTGCAGCTTCTTCCAACTCTTCTCAGAACATATATTCAACAAGAGTTAACCAGGTGCAACCTTGCTTTAACCTTTTTAGATACAAAAAATAGAGATACTAAAAGCAAAGTAAAAACTAATCAAGCTGCATGTTTCAGCTGAATTCTGAACTGATCATTTAAGCCTACCTTCTATAATGGTACATTGACATAGTTCAATGAGCAATAAATATACACTAAAACACCATCTTCAGAATTTACTAGAATTCTATGTGTACAAAACCTTAGCAAATCTATTGATAAAGTTGAATCCTGCGTCACATCAGGAGAAAGACCTTCAATATATGTACAGTATAAACAATATCAGCAAATGATAAATATCTATCTGGCTGTCAGTCCTTAGCATTGGTCCTTTGTTCCTCTCTAATTCATTCCTATCAGGCTCGCATCAGCTCTACGGACTGCCTCTGCAATATCAAATCTCCCCAGCTCAAGCCACATGTCTGATCTTATCATATGCATAATTTTAGACAAGATTATAAACCCCCAACCCTAACGACCAACTTGAATGGAAAGGGCGTTTGCAAGGAAAATTACTTTATCGAAGCATGAACAGAATATCTCATTCCAGGTCCTTTAATCTTATATTTTTTGACAAATTTATCACCAATTCCATAATGAGTAGACATGTTTCCCACGCATTATAAAATCTGAAGAATGAGTCATACTGTCTATGACTCATGAAAATGCTATTTGCTATAATTTTATATTAAACTGCAAGTCCCATACGTTGCATGGAAGAGAAATAAGACATACAGATTCCATATATTATATATTGATAGTGATAAATATATTGCATCATATTGATGATAATTCATGTATTGATAATAAAGGAATTTTACCAATTTGGGGGTGGTTCTCCCATTAAGAGTCTTCATTGCAGCATCTGCAAAAGCTTGTGCTGCCTCTGCATCAGCTTCAGCAGCCTCTGCCTCCTTTGCTGCTTCTTCAGCTTCTGCTATGGCAGCTTCTGCTTCTGCAACTGCTCGAGCAGCAACTGCAGCTGCCTCTTGTGCTGTCATCGACCTTATCTTTGCTAGTTCTAAATCTATCTGAGACTTTGTGATGACATTGGCCTCATCCTTATCTATCTTCATAGAGAATCTCTGCCTTGCATCAGACAATAACATGGATGAGTTTCTTCTTCGGTCTGGATATGCTGGCGTAGGAGCAATCCTATATTTGCGTTTCACCTGTAAAACCACACACAACCAAGCCTAAGATTCTCAAATTGAATTTAAAAAAAAAAAAAAAGATCCACAATTGAATTAACTAATTTTCCCTGGCGACAAATAAATACAGCATCCACAATTCTTATGTGCTCACATGGTTGCCTACAAAACTAGTAGTGTGCACATGTGCATAAAACTATAATTGATTTTAGATAGCGAGGTTGGTTAATAAGAATCCCATGCTAAAAAGCTACTAGTATTTTTTTCCCCACCAGTCTATCTTTGCTAAATTTAATTATTTCTCTCTCCAATTCACGAGTGCAGTGCCCTTCTACTGTCCATCTCCCAATTCTCAGCAGAGTTAATGCTATATTTGGTAATTAAATTAAGATAAAATCAACAAAAAGCGTGCACCAGAGACCAAACTCCTGCATCAATTTCTAAGCTTATTCATTTTAACCAAATGTAAGTGCGTTTAACATGACTTAGATTGTATGTCTATGCTGTCAACCCCTCTACAGATCTCAGCTAGCTGAAAGGTTTCTGCTTATTCATTGACGTTCATTAATTTAGCAAACACATTGCCCATATTTTCATCTCTGGTGTTGCTCCACCAAAAAACAATGTTTCAAACAGGGATCAGGACAAATGGGACGCGGTCCTTCATAAGATCCATGCAAAACCCATATTTGTATATCAAAGACCAGTCTAGGGGATAAAGTGTTTCAAAATAATGGATCCATATTTGTAATCCAACACATTTTGGCCCTTTCCAGTTTAATTTAGGGCGGACAGTTTGGATTCCATCAATTTACAAGCATTCACCTAAGCTCTACAACATTGACACCTGCCAGTAGATCAAAGGAACCAACTTTCTTCTTTCCAATTCCTTTCATATCAAGGAGCTAAGCATGGGCTTTAAGCACAGTGGAGAATGGATAATTTGCCATGCCGCTAAAATGAACCCCAAAAATATTATCCTAGGTCAATTTTAATGACTCCTTTCCTGGCCCACATCTATCGGAACTTCTGCACCATCATTTAACCCGCCTCCATCATTTATCCTAGGTCAATTTTAATAATTAGAGTTTCTATAAAGATTTGTCATACCACTCGAGTTCCATTTAAGAGATAGAAATCATCACACAAACATCATCTACCATGGAATTACCTCCAATAACATTTTCTCTTCTTCCATACGCTCCTATGCTTTCCTCCTAATCCTCATTAGGGCTCTAGACCAAATCATCACACTTCACTATAGAAGGGCCGCAACCCATTTCTCAGAACCCAACAGAATATTTTTCCACAAGTTCTACTATACTTTACACTTTATAGCTCTTGCTTCTTCCAAGACCAAAGTAATCTAAAGGTCACCCAAAACGTAAACCAGTTTTCAAGGCATCATACAAGCATTTTAATCTTTTTAAGGCAAAGAAGCTATTCTTCTCAAGAAGGTGCAGGCACAGCACTAAGAGTGTTCCATTATCAATATATTTAAGGATCAGCATTAGCACGAGTGTATAACTAACATATAGTGAAAAGAATAGCGCATTACTTCTACATTATAAACGATCAAAACTAGTAAAATGACTTTGGTGAAAGGAAACTGTGAGTGAGCATTTGGTATTTTCTCTTTACTTTTATAGACACAACATTGGGCACTTTACAGAAATAAAAATTACATACCAACAGGAAGGGAAACCTCATTTCTGTAGAACAATAGATGAAATCGCACATAGATTAAATTCATGTGATCCAAACAAGTTTTACATCGGAAGATGAACATTGGTTATGACCATTATAAATTGCATATTTGAAATATACCTTGATCAGTTTTCCACTAGCTGTCAACGATTTTAGTTTTGCTGACAATGACCTTCTGAAGTCTTGGGGTGCCCAATATTGGTCCTTCAGTTTATTTTGCAACAAAATTCAATTAAGTTGGAAACAGCATGAGAAACATATCTTTAAATATAATTGATAGCATCATTCTGCCAAAAGGGATGCTAAACACTTCAGTTTCACATCACAACCAACATTTAAAAAGTACCATTCCATAAACAACAAAAAGAAATCACATAGTCAGGGCTGAAGTAGCATCACATTTGGAGGCATTGTTAGTATCATGTAAGGAATGAAAATGTTTGCCATAAGCAAAAAACTTCCGAGCAAATGGATCATAGGAAAAATGATAAAACCCTTTATGGCATAAAAATGATCTCAAATGCATGGAATCTCAATGTGTTCATTTTAAATGTAATGCACATGTTTTGAAGGGATCTCTTCTGGCAGTATCCTTCACTGGTCATACTAGACAAAATAGGTTCCTAGAAAATATTCATATTTTAATAAAAATTATTGATAAATAACTCAGGCCAATCACAAATAGATATTTACTTTCAATCAGAAATAACTAATGCCAGGAATGCCTCTAAAAGCGTCATCAACATTGTAACTTTAGTTGGAAGTAGACTTCCGTCCATCAGGCCCATTTACTCTATAACCGTAGGACTTATCAGTTTAGTGATTTGATATCCCTATCTTTTAGGTTCATTGTATTCAGCATTATCTCTAGGATTACAGAATAAGATCTTTTATTCTTTCAGTTATTGAGAGAGGATCTTATGAGATTTAGTGAGCCTCTCTCCCCATATATATGTCGATCATACTAGATGAATAAAATAAGCAGATTTGCACTGCAAGCACTCATAGTATCAGAGAGGTACCACCGAATCATTCAAAGCAGTGCTAACTCAGTTTCAGGCTTCAAGCCCACTGAAGTGACAATAGGAAGAAGTATCTTGACTCATACATTAGAACTTTTCTTGCTTAAAAAGGGAGACATCATCAAATAATTTGTGTGCGTGCCTCAACAAAATGGTGAGACTGAAAGAAAAAATAGACGTCTTTTGGAAGTGGCTAGGGCACTCTTGCTTGGTAATAATGTTCCAAGTGTTTTTTGGGAAGATGTCATACTCAGTCATACTTATCTTTTTAATCAAATGCCCTCCAAAATTTTACAACTCCAGACACCTTTTCCAATGTTTTTGGAATTTTACCCTCATGATTCACATCTCAACTCATTTCCCAAACAAGATTTTGGTTATGCTGCATTTGTTTTTATGGTAATGGTGGAAAATTGGACTTAGAGTCCATTAAATGTATTCCCTTGGGCTATTCTTCAAATAAAAAGGGATACACTTTTTCTCTCCAGCCACATGCAAGGTCTTTGTTTTTTTTTTTTTCCTCCAGCCACATAAGTTTGAAAGAGCTTCTCATCCTCCTCCACAAAGAAAGTTTGTGAAAAATAATCCTACTATGATCAGGAAAGTCAAAAACCAGAACATCAACCAAAGAATCAAATGACAGCAGACAAAACAGAATTTAGACTTCAACAATGAACTATACCTCTATGTAAGCTGCAATATTTGTCTTGTTGGAACCACCAGGCTCCCTCAAGCTAGCTATTGCTTCCATTATCAGGTTATCCAATCTGTATATATAATATGAGTGAGTGCATGTGTGTATTTATTTATTCATTTAAATAGCAGATAGTGGATTGACAAAGCCTGATTTTATATCTCTTAGTTGCCAATTTTTCCTCTCTAAAGAATCTATAGAACCCTGCATTATTAAGTAAAATTACCACATTCAAACATTAAAGAAACAACTATCAATGCTCAGTAAAACTGCTTCACGAGAATACAATTCAACAACATTCTTAAACAAAGGGTGTGTTTGGTTCAAAGGAGGAAGGGGAGGGGAGGTCTTAATGTCTTCTTTTGCAACAACCAAGGGTGACAGAAGTAACTAAATGAAGCAATCCCTAAAAATTAAAAATATATAGAAGCCAGCCTTACGATAGAACACTATTTTTCAATGATTAGTGATGAAACTCAATAAACTTTTACTTTTGTTCTTGTAATTAAGCAATCCCCAAAAGTGGATTAATTAACTGCATATTAAGTGGAAATTATTGCATGCAAACATCAAAGAAACAACCGGTGATGCCTAGCAAAACTGCTTCACTGGAAAAATAATCACCAGAACAAACTTAAAGTATTAATTTATGCCAATACCCACGTTGATAGGAGTAATTAAACAAAACACAGCCTGAAAGTTATATTAAGAGAGTAAGAAAGAAAGAAAGAAATAGGCCAACCTTACAATAGACCTCTTTGGACCAGGAATCTGCAGCATATCTCTAGGAACTTGAGAAGCCCTGGCATCCACAAGTTCTTCGTCGCTCGGAACAACAGAAGGGGCAATCATAGCATTTTCATCTTGTTTTGGGACCTGATGTGCCCTTCTACCCGCTAATCTAGACTTGTCCCGGGAGCTCCATCCATTTGCCATTACACTCAGATTTCTCCATTTATCCTATCCCATAGCAACATCATATGAAATAAGCAACATGCATGATAATGTAGATGATCCTACAAAAGTTCCTTACAATTAATGCAAAATTCACACATTCCTGGCATGCTGACCTCCAACAAAACAAGAAAAAACAAAAGAAATCAAACATACAGATTTCCAAGTAGAGCCAAACCTTAAGATCTACATTAGACCGCAGAAACAAGACACTACTAAATTCTGGATCCTTAAGTATTGTGCGCCATTTCCCAACCCCATGCTTAACAACTCCAGCTTTTAGTGCTGCTTCTTCTTCTTGTGTCCACTTCTGCTTAGGAGCACCCATTACGAATGCCTAAGAATTTCCAGTGCTATCTCAGCTGCAAGAACGCATAGTACAACAATAAAATTAACATCTATATAAACAAATAAAAAGTTTTCAAGAGTAATAAGAAATTTAAACCTTTTGCTGCTAATTGCCATTTCATAACTCTTTTCCTATGCAGTCTTCCACTGATCTATTTCTTCAATATTCCCAATTTCTTCATCAAGGGTATTGCTAGTTGGCATTAGTAAGCACCTAATAGAGGTTCTCCAGACAATTTCCCAGACATGCGGAAAGCCAGAATACTCCAACGACTAAAAATACAAATATATGAATCCCATCTTATCAAACAAAGTTAGGATTCCTTCAAGAAGCGTGACCTTAATTTTTAAACGCTCAGATTCAATCTTCTTCCAAAACAAAAGAATACAATGAGCACACGAAGGAGTACAACACAATTCAAACAAATTAAATTGTACAGATTTGCATCGATAGATAACAAAAAGCACGGGACGATGTGCAACCTAAAACGTAGAAATCTCGATCACAAACACAATTCTTTCAACGAACATATATAAATCCCGTTCATTCCACAAAACCCTAAATCAAATAAATAATAAAATGATAAAGAGAGAGAAAAGGAAAAATTATCGCGATACAAAATATAGATGACGTGGCTCACCTCTGTTGAGCAAAAGCCCTATGACAATTGATTTCGCAGGCAAGCAATAGTGGATTATTCGTTACAGGTTAGGTTCCAGACACGACCATGCCTCGCTCACGCCCATCGTGGTCCAGGATGGAAGGAATCTATTTGCCGGAGTAAAGGTAAACTGGTATTCCAATTTCCCAAAGCAAAAAATAAAAACAAAAACTATGAGGAAAAAGCGAAAATTGGCCAAAATCCCTGGTTGGCAATTTTATTGCCTAAAAGTTCCTGAAATTTGGACAAGGACCAAGATCCCAAAGGAGAATAAAATCTATGAGGTAAAAGATAAAAATGCCCTTAATGAAATAATAAAAGAAAAATTAAAGAAATGTCTTTGCGCGCAATTGGCCCTAGTTTCCTTTTTGTGAACACTTGCTTTTGCTGCAAAGGAAATTTTCACTTGTTAAATCGATTTCACATTTTTTTCTAGTTAATTCTCACACTATTAGATTGTCAATTTGAGTCTATATGCCATTATTGGTGTTTGATGTTATGATATTGAAGTTCAATAAGATTTGTTGTTTGGGTTTCAAGTTATTCTAGATAGAGGATGAAGGAAGTTGTGCTCTGTCACCTACTCTTCTCATAAGCAAAGCGCCAAAAACCCTTATCACAAACGATACTTTGCCACATAAAACCCAATAAAACATAAAAACAACATTTTCAGCCCCATACAAATTAAGGGATGAATTGCAAGGTGAAATCCGAACAAATTAGAGAGAAATGAGGCCTCTGGAAGTGTCCATCCATTGATACAATACAATACCCCATTAGGGTGTTTGCTCATGTCAACAATAGAAAGGTAGGAGGCCCTCTCTATCAACATCTAGCTCTGGTTGAGAACAACGTTCAAGTAGTTCAATGATAGACACCACCTTATGTTGACTGGTCAAAGAGGTAGCCATGTTCGATGTTGAACCATGTATTTTGATAATTATAAAACCAAGGGAAAGAGATTTGTTACTTGTGCAAATCAAATGATGAATCAAGAAGTGACAAAACTTTCGAGAGCATGAAGATCAAGAAAAGACTTAGGTTTATAAGTTTCAATTATGATTCTTCTCTTAAATTCAATGTGAAAACTAATTAGGACTATTCACATAATTAATATGGTAAGAATGCATTCCTTAGAACATACCTTAGGCTCATAATTTCTTAGAATTTTAGTATCAAATAATTACAACATGTACTCGATCATCTAGCTAATCCATGAGAGTTTTGACATGGACCCATGTAACATCCCAAATTCTAATCCTTTGATTACTAGGAATTAATTAAGTTTAATTATCATAATTGAATTATTTAATGTGGTGTATAACATAAAGGTCTAATAAGTGTCTTCGGTTGTGATTTCAGCCCTCATTATGAATCCGAAGTGAAGTCAACCACTCGAGCTCGAAAGAAGGAGAAAAATGTGAAAGATTGTCTTTGTGCCACATATCGCAGCATATAGCATGTCAGCCACAACACACAAATGACAAAGGGATAGGAGGACCTCTCTGTGCCACACATACCGTGGCGTATGGCCCTTTTTTTTGAAAAATTTAGTTGTGATTCTGATGCAAAAAATAGAGAAAGAAATAGGGATTGGAAGAGAAACAAAGAGAACAAAGAGGGCTCTGCTAAGGCATGACTTTGGAATGCATTTGAGAAGGTTTGAAGCTTTAAATCATCTAAGGTAAAATTTCTAAACCCTTTCCTCTATTTCTCTTTCATTTTCTCAAAGGTTAAAGTTAAGGTTTGAAATGGGATGATGATTTTCAATCCATATAGATTATGGGTTGTAATCTCCTTACTCTAAACTCTCACAATTCCTAAAATTAAGGAAAATAAGGGTTTAACCCAAATTAAGATCCAAGTTTTTACAAATTACACAATTGGGATTCCAAGTTTTACAATGTTTAAAATACTACCGTACACTTTTAAATGTATTCAATTCAAAGTTTTAAAATAAGGTGGAAGCATGGAAATCAAGAAAAATCAAAGCATTTGCATAAAATCCCTTAAAACAGTGAAAACTACAGAAAATGGCATATATGCTGTGGCGTATTACATAAAATTTGACAGTAAATTGCTATTGTCATTTGATAGCACAGGAATGAACTTTTGATGCATCTTAAATCTCCGCCTGATGTTTGACTGAAGTGATTTTTGTGTCTACATGAAATTTTTTTCCTCGCTCTAACTAATGGTAAAAGTTTTACATTTAAACTCTTATTCTACAGAGAGTTCGATACCAACCCATTTTCAGTACTTTTTTCACAAAAACTCATAACAATAACATCCAAACTCACGTAAGGGCCAAGAGCCTACACCAACTACTTACCACACTCAATGGATCCTAACGAACTTATGCAACACACCAAAATAAATATGCACACATAATGTAAATTCATCAATCAACCCCAACTTGCATAAAACATAAGGGAAGGAAATATTTGCACAATTCATCCATTTTCATTTCAAACCAATCAAAATACACACGTAACACTACTTGCACAAGTATTTTAGCCCTAAAGGAGGTTTACAACTAAAACTCATTAACCCAAGGCACAAAATATATAAGTTGTACACTATAGTAATGCAAGTAGCCCAAAAATATTCATGTGAATCCTAGTTGGCAAATTAACAATATTAATACACATAAAACAACATATTAAGGCAATAAAAAGGATATACTCCATAATCCTATGCCCCAGCTATTTCCCTTGGTCTGGATCCGATGAGCTAGATGTTGAAAATATTGAAAATTGAAAGGTGAGTATAATCATCAGTAATTAAGTTTCACCTTGTTCTATATAGTTCCATATCAATTAGATTTTTCACAAATTATTAATTCAAAAAATTATTTTTTTTCATTGAACCCTTATCATGGTAGAAAAATTTCTACCATGATACATCCAAGACAATATATCACAGGTCTTAAAATATCTCAAAAAGCAATTAGAACCATGAGGGACAGACAGGATCCTCATGTCATGATATTCAAATCAGATCATAAATCAAGAGGGACAGACATAATCCTCTTGGTCATATAAATACTTTTAATAAAAAGGATTAGAGTTTACATGCTTCACAAAAGATATGTCCTAAGTTGGCACAAGATACATTGTATAATCTAAAATAAGAGGCAACGTAAAAGATGGTGTCTCATACACCATAGTTACACCTCTGGTGCTTTCTCGGCCGGACTCGCTCCTGTAAAAATATTAACCACGGGGAATGAGACTTAAAAAGTCCAGTAACCAAAAATTAATATGTAATGATGCATGCGGATGTAACTAATCATGCGATTGCTAAGTGGGCATACAAAACATTTAACCGAACAATATTTTCAAACAAATCGAACAAGTATTTAATTTGCATGACTGCACCTTATATCCTCCTTTCGCCATGCTCGGACGCCAAATCACCCGGCCAAAGGTGAGTTGGACCAAGCGACACGCCACTCATTGGGTCCAATGAGGGCTTACCACGTGGTAATAATTAATTACCGAACAGAAATTCCCATTAACACCCTATATTAAAATACCCTGACAAGTCATGCACATTCAAATATCCAAACAGAAATATATCCGAACAATAATATCCATCATGATAAACAAAAAATAAATTTTTAACCCACTTGGCAATGATTCATAGAAGTATATAACAGTATTTATTTTCAATAATTCATAATTTTTTTCAAACAACAAAACAACACAGAACCATTCACAAACACACCCATCACACACATTAATAATGGTTACCTTGTGTCTTGAATAACAAGTTCTCCTTCACAACTCCTTTTCACACTATCTTTGTCCAATATAATCTACAATTATTTCACAATACTATATATTAATTTACATTAAAATAAATAACTCTAATTTAAATAGTTAGAAAGTCTTAGATCTATAATCCTATTAACACTAAGTTAAGATTTATGCCTCATTTAACTTCCTAAATTCTTTTCCCGTTAATGATCATGGTATGCACAATTCACATATATTATGCATTCTAATCCACAATTCATGTCATATGAATTTACTTATTCACACTCACATACTTCACGAGTCAATTACCACTTTTCATCAATTCCACCAGTCATGCTATCACTCATAGTCAAAAGTCACTAATATATGCAACATGTAAGGGGTTTTGCATTTTTCGAAGCCATTTTATCATAAATTCATCACATTGCCAAAATGCATCATTAGTTAACAAATCAATCAAATTTCAAATTATAATTTCCACAATTACCTAGTTAATATACAACTATATAAATTAGATTCCCCTCGGTTGCCTCAAATGAGAGGTTAAAGATTTACCCCTCATAATAATTACTTTCAAAGCTTCTTTCAAGCTCGAATAGTGCCAAAATCAATAGTCTACATTCATTCTATAAGGGCATGGGTCAAGAACACCTTATGAACAAATTTCTTAATAATTAACTCTATATTCTCATTCCATTAACGCCTTAAATTCACTAACCATCATACCTAATAGATTTACTAGGTTCTATTAACCATGGCTCATATAGATCAAAAATCACCACTAATACTCAAACCCTAACTTAACTTTTCTTAAAAATGGAAGTAGAAGGAAGGAAAGAAGCACATTATACTTACCTTAAGAGTTGGGAAGCTTCTAACTCAAGGGTCTCAATATACATGCCCTAACAAAGCAATTTTGTGTTCTTCAATTCCAACTTTCCTCCTCTTCTGTTTTCGCACGCAAACATGAACTAATTAAGTCATATTTTTAGCCGTGCACCATGGCACATGACAAAAAGAAGTCCTACTCCAGGCATATTGGCACACGTATGCTGTAGTAGCCTAACCACAAGCCGTGGCACATGGCACAAAATCTTGCCCTTCCATTTTCTTCCTTTTTTCTCATCCGAGTAACCTGACTCTCCTTCAAACCTGTGTTTAGGGCTAAAATCACAACCAAATAAGCTTTGCTAGACCTCTCTGGCCACACACCTCACTAATACACTTAATCTAATTATGCTTAAATAACTAGGCTTAAAATTTGAGAATGTTACATAGGTTCAAACCCATTGGCTCAAAGGAGGTTGATAGTAGTTGTTAGAGTATTTTTAACCTACTATTAATGGTTTTAGAGGTTGTTGGTTGGTGAATGTCATAACTGTCTGAAAATAGGCATT